AAGACGTACCGCTCCACAAGATCCACAAGTCTTGCTCCCCGAAGATATTGACGCTCCACATTTGGGACAACCTGAGTGAGACATAGTGTAGCTTCTGAGAAGTGAGGTGTAGTCCTGAGACAAGAAGTAATGGCCTCTGAGATAGATGGGTCAATAATGTGCAGTGGACGTGACCAAGGGTGAAGTGAAGTTTGATTTGAGGGGGGGTTCAATTCTCGAGTCTGACTGTTTTTATATTAGCTGATAGATGCCCCTCCATTAGTATCATCGCTTACTGTCGGACCGCCTTGTACCGTACTCAACAATACATGGTAACCGCTACAGCCTACCAGTAGAATTAATCTGTCATGGTCAAAAGCCTAAGCTCACCATGTGCTTATATAATTAAGAGTGCATCAATGTGTAGAAGATGTATGACTCCCTGGTGTATGGCGATGCTAATATTAGTGAACTGCTCTGTCTTTTAATCTTTTAACCTTGTCCTATTGGGCCCAATGGGTTGTATTAATGTGGTGAAAGACGTAACAGCGGGCTTTCTAGTTAAGCAGTACGGAGTACCACTTTCCACCTTTTGCGGGGAAGGTCGTACATAACTCCATTACCTATGCTCGTACTAAGTAGATATCGACCGTTATGGTGAATGATAGGCGAGAAAAGCCGGACCCAGTCTTCTCCCGAGCGGAGTGGCTGCTTTACACAATAACTCACCAGTTGGTAGCGCTGCTATATTACTTCCTACTCGAGTTACTGGTGATTCTCTAGTACTATGTGCAGGTATTGATCATAACACCCTAGTGTTCTCGGTTACCGGGCTCAACCTCTTAGCCGTTTCCGAAGCTGTACAAGTCGTTACTGGAGAGAATAAGTTTCCCGAGATGCGCCGTTTGTTACGCAAATACAATCCTTGTTCGGGTGTTATTCTTCATGGCCTCGGAGGGATTAGAAAAACTTAGCTAGCTGTTAAATACATTATACAGCATAGGGAGAAATACACACACACACACACACACACACACAATTTATGACGCCCGGCAGCTAAGCTGAAAGGGTAACTAAAGCTATTCTATTGATGAGAGATATACAGTACATGCTCCTTAAACTGACGAGAGATCAACACAGAATCGGAAAAAAGTCCGAAACGAAGATAAGATTTCAAAGAGAGCGAGGAAGAGAGAAGCACTAGAGTGGTCGAGTGAAGGCGCGGTCAACCATTGAAGAATTTTGCAGAGCAGATCTACCAGCTTCAATTCTTTACATCATGACAATGGAGGATTTCAACTTCTATCAACTCCTTGAATTTACATCACTAATTGTGATCCAGCGTGGCACCCAGGGGCCTTCAGAATTCCGTCCCCAGTGAAGCAGGAAATCCGGGCAGAATACCCTAATAGTGGGGACAGAATTCTGTTTCCCCCTGGGTGCATGGTTCTGTTCGTTAACTCATGCAGAGTCCTCTGGACTTAGTCCTTTGACGTCCGACCTTATCTCCTTTTGTTCCATTGGTCCTTGACCTCCTATGGCATTCTCTGAAGATCGAGAATGCTTGGATTCGCCAGCGACCACGCCATCAACCGTCTTCCTTCGACTGGATATCTCAACGAAGAACTCACGCCAGAATGTTCGAGTCTCCCATATGGGTAGAACTCCACAGATCCCAAGGGCACAAAACACCCAGATGAAGCTGACAGCGACATAGAATGTAAAGAACCCTTTAGTGTAGATGTAATGACTCAAGAACATCGGAATCGGAATGATGAAGTCCATGCTGACTGAAAGAACTGTAGCGAGTATCAGAGCCATATAGTAAGTGCGTTGGAGTGATTTCGGGTTGTCAAGGAATGCAGCATCTTCGGCTTCTTCTTTCTCTTCGTCAATGACAGTCGGAAGTTCGGCGTTGTGATTTGGATTTGACGGCTCGTCCTTTGGTGCTTCACTTGTTTTCGTTTCAGGGATTCCAGTTGCAGCATCATCAGTCATCATGTCTTGGACGTTTTGTGCCGGTACGACATTGCCATACAGAGATGTTTTGGCATTGATATCACGTGTGATTGCCCAGTCAAAATCATCCGGTTTGACCCAGGATACTACACATGTAACAATGAGGCCGGTGAGGACTCCTGCCATGTTGCCTGCAAGGGTCGGATATGAGCCTCCAGTACTAGCAACGCTGAGCTCTCCATAATGGACTTTTGCTTCAACCAGCCACGCAGTCAGTCCAGCTGTAAGACCGCAAAGAGCGCCAGCGATGGCTCCAGCGCGAGTTTGGCCTTTCCATGTCACGGCAAATGCAGCAGGGAAGACTGCACCGCCAATGAGCAGTCCCATGACAAGGAAAAGCCATCCAAGGTCGATGCCAATAGCGTTCCAGATACAGGCAAATGCTGCCATGACCAGGCCAAAGAAGCAGATCATCACATGCGACACGAAGATGAGATCTTTGGGGGTGGCATTCGGCTTGATATACACCTTGTAGACATCAAACGTCAGAATTGATGATGTGGCAATCAGTTCCGAGGATGATGAGGATGTTACGGCCATGAACAGTGTGATAAGCAGACCAACAGCACCGTGCTTCCCGAGTAAAGCTGCAGCGCCGAAGGGAGCGGACAGTCCAGACGATATCTGAGATGAAGTCATCTTGTGTGGATAGGTAGGATAGGCTGGGTTGTCCGTGAGAGCCACTGCAGCAAGACCAAGAGTCGTGGCAAACCCAAACGGAATTGCATACCAAGCGAAACCACCCATGATGTAGCCTCGGACCGCGGTAGTTGGACGGCTGGCGATAGCCCTTTGCCAGTAGCCTTGATCGAGAAAAACTGTACCCATGCCGGAGCAGAGCTGTATAACTCCGAATATCAAGCCATAGTTTGATTTCAGGGTGAGATATGATCCATTCTGGTTTCCTGCAACGGGTCGTACGTTTCCTGCATGAACGAGCAGGTCATACATCTTCCCAGGCGAGCCGATCAGATCATTAGAAGTATATACCTACCAATCCTCGTCAGCTTGATCTAGAGTCTGCTAAAGGAGGGGGGGGGGGGGGACTCACGCTGAACATAAAGTATAAGATGACGACCATAACAATGATTGTATGAGAATAGTCGCAAAGGAATGTTGCTCGAAGTCCACCGAGGACAACATACACACATACTCCAAGAGGAATGAGAAAGACAGCTGCATAGACATTCATTCCTGTCAAGGAAGTGACAACTGCACTTCCTCCCAACAGTAATTGTGATGCCACAAGGATGTTGGTCATCAATGCAAAACAGATGAAGATTATATGGGTAAGCTTTCCGTATCGATAGTATATAATCTCCAGGAATGTGTGACAACGTGGCGCGTTTTGTTTCAACTTGCATGCGAGTACCGAAAACATGAAGATTTGCACTGTTGCCCCTGCTGCATACCAGAAAGGGCCAGAGACCCCATATTCGTAGGTGACAGTACTGGACTGAAGTAATGTGGCCGCCCAGGTCCAAGCGGAAACTACTCCACTGGCAATGAGTCCAGGTTTGACACTTCGACTGGCTGTGTTGAATTCTTCGCTCATCTTGGTGGAATATTTGGTGTACCGGTTCTGCAGATACTTAGTATAAGATCAGCGTCAAAACTGTTTTACGTACCTGAAGGTATGAGACACCTGCCATAACGAAGGCAAAGAAGAATCCAATTCCGATGACGACTCCATATCCGGCACTTTGCGGAAGGATGGGTTGGATAGCGCTGGACATAGTGATAGATACTGAGTAGTCAGTCTGGACGAGGTTTGATTTCAAAATGCAATGAATCAAGTCGAAGAAGACTTATATGGAGCATTCTGATACATAATCACATGACGAAAATAGTTCCTGGAATAACAATAGTATGGAGCCTCGACAATGATAAGTAACTCCCTGATAATTCGCTGGCTTGAAAGAGGATATCAGTCTCAGGTGCTACTCCATGATGCTATCAGGCCGCGGGTGGCACAAAGGTGAAAGCCTTTGACACTTATCTCCGCATGGGGGACGTAAAATCAGATTGATGGTGCCTTATCATGTCTGTTGGAAACATCTTTGAAGAGAATGAGAACGTCTTCTTCATGTGCCCTACTGAATGCCCTGCTGATCCCTTGAGAGCTAAGTAGATTGTAGTACGGCTGACTCAGTTGTTCGTCAATATGGTAGCTGACACCGAGCAGGCGTTATCTCTTCGATAGCGAGACTGATTATGGTGCAAATGTTCTCATAGGAAAATTGTAAAGATATTGAGGCCGCTGATCATTCCGGATTGCTGAACGGGTAGGGCACCACGAGCTCCCATAATGAATAGCCAATGGCCGTTACTAGATCCAGATTCTAGGATGATGCAGGCTATGAGATCCACTCGGAGAGAAGTCATATCGCGCTATGTTGTTTCGTTGCCTGAGATGTTTCTTACATGGGGAACAAGGTGTAATCAAGTGGAGGTAAATGACCTTAACCCTAAGTGGCTAAACTTGAACCTAAATCCACCTGTTGAGATTAGGTCAGGCCTATGGCGCGCAGATCATCAGCCATCATTGGATACTACGCCTACATATTTTGCAGATCTTCCGAAAGCCTATTATACAGCCCAGAAAGGTAACGGATATACGCGAGCCCCCTGCTCCATCAGACCCTCTTATGAAAACGGATAAGGCATGTCTATTGGCTTCTCACTTTCCACCTCTAGGAAATCTAGCTCACCGTAGTAGCGCCCAGCTCCGAGTGATTCCTTCTTTGAGCAGGAGGGCCTGAAACACCTAAGCTGGGGCTCTTGTGGAGCTCTATCGTGGGGATTGAACGATAAGAGAGATAAGGCCAACAGATTGAAGTAAGTTATACGCGACTGAATAGGTCTGAAGGCATCCAGGAATGTAAGGTCGGCTATAGAGCTGCCTATTGTCTGAAATAAAGGACAGTGAACTTGTCTAGTCGCAAGGACACTCTGGCCGATTGTCACTCTCAGCTCGCCTTCGCAGCCCTACTTCATCCAAGATGTTCAGCCATACAATCACCTACTCACTCCGTAGAGCTTATACTATCAAGAAGGTTTCTTCATTGACCCTGACTGGCTCTCGCCTATATGCGACCGTCAAACCTTCCCCTCTGGCAGACAAGCTCTCCGTCAACAGCGATCGATTATGGTAAGATAGAAGAGATGCAAAAGGAACCTGACTGACACAGCTACCAGGCGCGACATTCACTACACCGCTCAGTGGAGTGCACCCTCTCCGGGCGGTGTTACTCGACTTTGTGCGGATGAGAATGACAAGAAGGTCCGCGACTGGTTCAAAGATCAACTTATTGAACTTGGAGCCGATTACAAAGTTAGTGTTCATGATTTCGAAATGGGTTTGGCTTACAGAAATCAGGTCAATGCTACCGGTACTCAATTCGGGGTTTTCGATGGAGAGGACAACAGCATCCCCCCTATCGCTATGGGAAGTCATTTGGACACAGTCGCAACGGGTGGAAGATTTGATGGTCCTCTTGGAGTAAGACATCCCAGTCCATCTACTCCGAGTCTCTAACATCTATCAGGTTCTCGGAGCCTTGGAAGTTATTCGAAGCTTCAAGGAGCAGGGTATCAAGACCAGAGCTCCGATAGTTCTCATCAACTGGACGAACGAAGAAGGAGCACGATTCTTTCCTTTGCTTGGATCATCTATCGTCTATGCCGGTCGCTCCACTGTGGAACAAGCCCATGCAGCAGCCTCGAACGACGCATCGGAATTGACCATGGGCAGCGAATTGAAGAAGATTGGTTACATCGGTGATGGACCAAATACATTCCAAGAGTTCCCCATCTCAGCGCACTTTGAAATCCACTGCGAACAGTCCACAGACCTGGAGAAGGCGGGTAAGCCTGTTGGATGGGTTGAAGGTTGGCAGGGAATGACTTGGTACGATGTCGTCTTCCACGGAGAAAATGGCCATGCCAATACCTACCCCATGTATGGTAGGCGAGACGCTCTGACCGGTGCAGCCAAACTCATTTGTGAGCTGGAAAAGCTCGCATATGAAAAGAATGGTGCCAGTACCGTGACTGGCATTCATAGCCGTCCATGGGGAGCTTGTAACATCCAGTCGAAGACGAAGATCACATTTTGCTTGATGCATAAAGAAGCTGAGGGATTGGAAGCCATGGGAACGTCCATCATGGAACGGGTGAAAAGTATTGCTTCCCTGCACGGGCTCGAAGTTGAAACCGATCGAACCGTGCATCTCTTGCCCGGCAACTTCTGGCCTGAAGCAATTGATTGCGTCAGACTTGCGTGCGGTGACAAGGGCATTGCTTCTCGAACTGGAACAGGCCATGACTCAACGATGACAACATTACTATGTCCAACTGCCATGGTATTTGCCCGGGCTAAAGATGGTATCAGCCACTCTCCAAAGGAATGGACGTCTCAAGAGGACTGTGCGGAAAGCGCGCTGGTTCTCGGGAAGTCGGTACTTAATTTCGACAGTTACCTTAAGGAAAAGGCTCTGGAGAAGTAAGGAACAAATGAAGACTGCGGACATTATGCCAATATAGTGTTAGAGCTACTATCACAGACAATCACCTAAGGAGCTATACACTCCCTACCTAATTCAGGAGGGAAGTGTAGGTGGGACTACGTAAGTGTACAAACGATAATACTATAGGGAAAAAACGGCCTAGGGATGTCAGGTTAGGGCCAGAAATTTCCCCGAAATAACCGGATAGGAGGGAACCTCCGGTCCGTAGTAGCTTACTTACTACGATAAGAAGCGTCCCCTAGGGGATAGACCTCTTAGGGTAAGTCCTATCTCTCGGACTACGAGATACTATCTAAGAGTTCTAGCTAAAGCGTCCCCTAGAGGATAGATACTATCTAAGAGCTCTAGCTAAAGCGTCCCCTAGGGGATAGACCTCTTATAGGTTAAGTCTAATCTCTCGGACTATAAGATACCGTCTAAGAGTTCTAGCTAAAGCGTCCTCTAGAGGATAGACCTCTTATAGGTTAAGTACTATCTCTTAGACTACGAGACGATAGTCCGGAAGATTTAGCTAAAGCGTCCTCTAGAAGATAGAATAATTAGGCTTTATAAATTAACTTTAGTTCTCCTTCTTACCTTCTTCTCCCTCTCTTTTCTACCTTCCCTCTCCTTAACTACTTATTAATACTATCCTTATTATTTATCTAGAGTTAGTATAAAGCGTAAAGGAGATATTATTATTACTTACTATTAACTATTAAAGCGTTAACGTCCTACTATACTTAACTAGCCCTATCCGAGAGGACCCGGGAACGTCGTAGGATTCCTCGCGAGGCTGGGTAAGGCTAGCTAATCCGGCGGCGCGGTCGTACTAAGGTATCGCTATATTCCGTCGCTATATTCTTTCGACTTACTAATTCCGCCATCGCGGTAATAGAAGTAAAATCGGTACTAATATACTTATCTCGTCGCGGCCGATCGATCGGCGTATATTATATAGTAGTAGTATATCGCGTAGTAGAACGGTAAAGTTATTAGGGTAAGCTCTCTCCTACTAGGTAGTGTACGCGTTTAGATACTAAGTAGGCTAATTAGGTTAGGGCCTAACCCTAAGCTCGTTAGCTAGACGAATATAGTATGTAGTTAGCTAGTTTAGCGAGATTAAGGGTATAGCTGTAATATAGCGGTATACCGTTCGTACGTACTATATATCGTCATCTTATTACGACTCTACGGTACCGCTACTACTACGTACAATGGCTGAGGCGCCCGTAGTAGTCGAAGACTTTATTCTCTTTAATAAGATATATCTTATCTTTATCTACATCCGCTACGGCTACGCCGTTACTAACGTTAAACGGTATCTTCGCGTAGAGTACGAAGAGATTCTACTACTATAACGGAAGTAGATTAGCTACCGGCATCGGTACTAGATAGTCGTCTCGTAGAGCGGCGTTCGTACTCCCCTAGTATACTCCGCTCCCATCCCCGGACTAGCTCTACCCGTATCCGCACTTCGCTATTAGTAGTCCGGATATCATTTTATTAGCGCGTATATTAAGAGTATCGAGCGGTATACCCGGGAGCAGTATCTTTAGCGAGCTTTATAGTAGCCGACGTTTTAGACCTATATCTTCGCGTAAACGTAGTTTACCGCCGAAGGTAAACGTTAATACTTTAAAGTCCGCGTACCCGATAATACCCCGGTCGCTATATACTCCTATAGCGCTTCTAGCGTACGGACTACTCGTAAGTCTATAGACCGCGCTAGTAGACCGGCTACTAGTTAAGTCCCCTAACCCGGGACGCTACTACCATTACGATAGGCGGAGGGGAGGCTAAAGGAGCTTCTAGCCGATGCCTAGGCTATAGACGACGAGTACGAGGCTTATATATAAGAGATAGATAAGGACTTACTTAAGTAAGACCGAACCGGGTAGTATAGTCGTACCTAGTAGGTATAATACTTTTAAGGGCGTAACTTAAAGTATCTCGCCTACGCGACTCGGCTTCTCGACCGCGACGAAAGCTTTCTTATCGAGGTAGTATAGGTATTTAATCTCTTCGCCCGTTAGGCTACTAGCGGTATCGATACGCTCGACTAGGAGCTACGACGATAGCTCCGTAGTAAATAAGCTACTACGATTTCTCTACGGCCATTTAGGCGGCTCTAAAACCCCGAGAGCGAGGATCGTTATTAGAACTACTTTCGCCGTTTCGTATACTATATTTTCCGTATCTAGAAGGCCGATAAAGTATACTAGTAGTTTAGGGTTAAGAGCGAGAAGGATATCGGAGACGGTATAGCGTTATATCGTATTCCTAACTATACTTCGACATTTCGATTAATAAACCGAGATCCCTAGGATCATAATAGTTATAACGATAACGAATTAACGGATACTAATGATAATTATAACGACGACGACGACGACGACTATAATCGTAACGACTTTAACGATATAGATACCCTATCGACTTCGATTCGGGAGAGTAATATAATAACCGCTACCGCTACTATAGAGGTTAATCTAATAAAGGACGTACGAGAGTTATTTCTATAGGATGATCGATAACGAGACTGGGTTGAAAAATGCTATACTTATATATCTTCTAATAAGGAAATTTTAGACGATACTAGGATTAAGGCTATATAAGGGCTTATTACTAGTTTTATTTTCTAAGAGGTCGGCGGGGAAAAGTTTAAGAGCGGGCTTATTCATTTTACGGTAGTATTAAGTATCGACGAGGAGAACCGACGTCTTCGCTAGGCGGTAGACTTCTTATATATAATTACCGGTTTAATATAGGACGTTCGTATACTTAGGGCGGAGATCTTATTTCCCGGCTGCGGTCGAGTTAAGTAACTTAAGTAGCCTATATTACGATAGAGGTTTCTTCGGTAGCGTACGTATTATCTAGCGGACGGTACCGGGATACCTATAAGCGAACTAATTAACTTACTCGCGTACGGTAAATATATCGCATTAAATACTAGTAACGCCGGTAGTATCATCTAGTCTAAGGATAAGTAGACTATATTTTTCTACGGGCTCGCTATCACGATAACGGTATTCCGCGCTATAGTCCGGGAGAATATTAAGCGGGCTAAGATACTACTCTAGGAAAAGCTTATATAGGTTCGAGATCGTTAGTAGCGATTTACGATTAATCTCGATACCATTAAAGATAACTTAACATTTATACGGCGCGGGATATCGTTCTTAACTCGGGAGCGTAATGGATTTACCGGCGGCCGAGAATACATAATGATACGGATGCTCGCATTAAAAGGTAAACGGTCTCTCCAGCGTCGTACCGGCGCGTAGAAGCTCCGTCAAGTACGTACATATCTATCCGATACCGTCGTCTTTCTCGAGCGACTGTTGTTTAGTATACATTCGACATATAGGTAAGTTAGACGTAGATCCGAGATTTTATCGCTTCGTTTTCGTAACGGGGCACTCTAGGATCGTAATATCTACATCGCCGACGGGAGTATCTTTATTATCATACGGTACTATAAGTCCTAGGCGCTCTTCGATATACCGAAGGTCATCCCCCGATTCTTACCGTAGCGGATTAGATAGCTAATAGTTATCTATCTCGTCTATATCTAGCCATTTCAAGAATACGTATTGAAAAGGACCTAGAACTAAGAGATTAGCGACTATCTCTAGTACGGCGAGTAGAGACCGTAGGAGACTAAGTAACTTACTCGAATCATTAAGCGAGAGACGGCACTCGGGCTCGGATATCGATTTAATATACTTAACTTTCGCTATATAGTAATTAGTATCGGGCGTATAATAGTAGAACCTAAGTTCGCGGCCGATTATAAAGATAACCTTAGCGAGATCGAAGAGCCCGAGTAAGAGTACGAGGACGGACTCGAGCTATAGAGCGGGCGTAGCGAGACTATAGGCGCGAGCCGCTACGGGGTGCCATCCGACATTATAAAGTATTTAACCGTCCGTTCCATCGAGACATTTCGACCGCTTAGCGAAGGTTAGCATTAATTCTTAGGGCTCGCCAGTCACGCCCGCGATTTAGTTCCCGACCGCTACGGTCTCTCTCGCCCCCCCGCCGTCGCTCTTCCCCGCTACGGGCGACTTAAGCGACCTATACGTGATTTATAGGAAGTCTCCGCGCCGTTACTACGATAGCGAGCGTTATTCGACACCGTCGACGGTACTTCGACTATAATATTAACCGATTCTATACCTGACTCTACGGCCATCGACCGGGCTATATACCGTCTTCTCGGGGATGGCCCTATCTAATTCACCTCGCGGGAGTAGGAAGAAGGAGTTTTAGCTATCTTATAGGGGGAGACTCCCGTTACTATTATACTCCCTACGGGGGGTAGGAAGACACTCCTCGCTATACTCCCCGTCGTACTCGAACGTAACGGAGTCACGATCTTTATCGCGCCATTTCGTATACTAATCGATAACGTCGTAGCGCGTTTCCGATAAGCCTAGCTTAATTACTTCGAGTAGAAGGCGGAGGAGACTAATCCCGCCCGCGTTATCGTAGTTAGTACCGATATAGTCGAGCGAGGGGACTTTATAAACTAGGCTCGGATACTCGTCGAGTATGGGCTCCTTCGACGTATTTTCGTAGACGAGTACTACACTACGTTTACCGACAGCTACTAGCGGAAGAAACTTAACGCGGTTCGGCGGGTTCGTAAGCTATTATATCCGATTTACTTACTGACGGCGACATTACCGCCCCGGCGCATCGTTAAGCTAGAAAACAGTATAGCGGTCTAGACTACTCGCGTTATTCGTACATCTACTATTCGACCCCGATACCGCTACTACGTATAGATATATCGAGCGGGGACCATTATCGACGCGGCGGTAGCGATCTACGTACGGCGGTAGAGACATTTAATGGCGTAAAAGTAGAAGGGGGTAGTATACTCTAAATCGATCATCCAGTATAAACGGCTCGCGGAGGAACTTCAGTATCTCTACTACCACTTCCGGGTGCCGGATCGCGAGGAGCGGATATAGCGATAGCTCTAGTAT